GGATCCCTTGGAATACGATCAAGCAACTTTACTACAACTGTACGTGGGCACCGGGTCGTGCTGCCCACAGGCTAGCACGGCACGGCACGAGCACGAGCACGAAATAAATGAGCCACCCTGGCACGAGCACGAATAATTTATGGGTCGTGCCGGGCCTAAACTTCATGGGCACGAGCACGGTATATAAGTGGGCCATGTCGGGCCCAATATTTTCGATACTTTATTGAGTATAAGAAATGATGGCACAAAAATAATATTTATTTGATAGAAAATAAATATAAAAAGATAGGCTCAAATATTACAAAACACAAGTAGAAAAATAATTATTTGTTGTTGTTAGAAGTGTCATAAATATATATACGTAATTACTAACACAAGTAAAAATGGACAAAGAATTAAACAAATCCAAATCACACTCGCTATACTTCCAATTTTCTTTCCCCCCTTATTTGTTTACTTTTCTTAAACATTATCGGTTAATACTATCTTCCCCCGTCCAATTTTCACTTTCTTTTGCATTCTCTCTTTTGGTTTCGTCCTTTTCATTAAACACGAACACGAGCATGACACGAGCACAAATAGGCACAGCACGATTCGAACAGTGCCCGGGTCGGGCCTAGCAAAGTTAACAAATGGGCTTGCATAGCACGGCACGAAAACTGACGGGCCGTGCCAAGCACAATACGAAATATATGGGCCTGAAGCGTGTATGTGTCGTGCCGGCCCAAGCACGACCCAACGCCCATGTACAACTACAACTCTAACTAGGTTATATTTGACCTAGTTAGGAGTGAATAGAGAGTGTGCAACGACTTATAAATTTAAAGCTCGATCGCGCATAAGCACCCGATCAAGTTTTTTGTGCCATTGGCGAGGAATCTTCAGTTATTACAAAAAGTAAAGAACTACTAGTTTAATCGTTTGTTGTGTGCCAAATGTGGCGTTGTTTTGTCGTGTTTTGTGTTTGTGTAGCATCAAGTCTTTGGTGCATTTTCCTTGTGTTTTGTGCTTGTGATGTCGTATTTTCTTTGTCGTATTTATCTTTCTTTTGTTATGTTCCAGTTAGTTATCTTGTGTTAAATCCATTAAGCACCGATTTGAAGGCTACAGATCACGAATTCGGTCTGAGTCTATTCTTCAACGATAATTAAGTCCATTAAGCACCGATTTGGGCGGATTTCTCTCGGTCCATTTTTGGCAGATTCGAAGGGGGTACCATCACCGATTTTGGGCGACTTTTCTGAAATGTCTTTTTTTCGATTTTGGAGGGTACAGATCATAGATTCAGCCTGATACTATTCTCCATCGATAATGAAGGATTGTGTACCATAAACATTGATTTCGGGTCCATTTTTGACAGATTCCAAAGGATTACCACCACATATTTACCCAATTTTTCCGAAATGTCATTTTCTTTCGATTTTAGAGGGTACAAATCACGAATTCAGCCCGAGGTTATTCTCAACCGATAATGAAGTTTATTAATCCTATTCTCCATCGAAATGATTAAGTCTATTGTTAAACCGATGTCATTTTCCTTGAATTTTGAAAGCTACCGATCGCTTATTCGCCTAAGGCTATTGTTAAACGATGATTAAGTCCATTAAGCACATATTTGGGCAAATTTCTTCCGTGTCTATTTTTGGCAGATTCCAAAGGCATACCATCACAGATTTCGAGCAATTTTTCAGAAATACAATTTTATTTCAATTTTGGAGGCTACAAATCACGGATTCCACCCGAGGTTATGCTCCATCGATAACAAAGTTTATTGATCCTATTCTCCATCGAAGATTAAGTCCATTAAGTACCGATTTAGGAGAATTTATTTGCATATGAAATTTAATAATTTTTTGTGAGATTTTTTTCGAAAGGTCATTTTCCTTGTATTTTGAAGGTTACAGATCAATGATTTTTCTTGAGCCTATTCTTAACCGATGATTAAGTCCATTAAGCACCGACTTGGGCGAATTTCTTTCAAGTCCATTTGTGGCAGATTCCAAAAAGGTACCATCACCAATTTCTGAAAACTTTTCTCAAATGTCTTTCTTTCAATTTTGAAGGCTACAGATCACGGATTCCGCGTGAGGCTATTCTCCACTAATGATGAAGTCTATTGATAATATTCTCCACCGATGATTAAGTCCATTAAGCACCGATTTGGACGGATTTATTTTCAGATAGCATTTTCATAAATTTTTTGGGTGATTATTATTATTTTTTTTTTTGAAAGTCCATTTTTCTTTGATTTTGAAGGCTTCAGACACGGTTTTGGCTGAAGGCTATTCTTCAACTATGATTAATTTAATTAAGCATAGATTTGGACGGATTTCTTCCGGATCCATTTTTGACAGATTCCAAAGGGGTACCATGACAAATTTCGGACGATTTTTCCAAAATGCATTTTCCTTGGGTTTTGAAAGCTACAGATCACAGATTTGGCATGCGGCTAGTCTCCACCAATTATTAATTATATTAATCGTTGGTTTGGGCGAATTTTTCTTAGAGGTCATTTTAATAAATTTTTTGGGCGATTTTTCTTAGATTTTGACAGTTACAGATCACGAATTTTGCCTCACGCTATTCTTTACCGATGATTATGTCTACTAAACATCGATTTGGGCAGATTTGTTTTGGGACAGTTTTGGCATATTCCAAAGGGGTACCATCACAGATTTCGCGTGATTTTTTGAAAGGCCATTTTCTTTGAATTTTGAAGGCTACAGTTCACGGATTCGGCCTAAGGCTATTCTCCACTAGTGATAAAGTCTATAAATTGCCAAGTTGAGCGGATTTTTTTGCATACGGCATTTTCATAAATTAGTGGGTGATTTTTGTTTGAAAAAGGAAGATCTTGCATAGCACTATGAATGATTGGTTACGAAGAGGAACAAATGGATCAAACTGAAATCAATCAGCGTAATGAGATCTTGAGTAAACGGTTGACAAAAGACCGTGCTTGAGAGATACATCAAGAAGAGCAAAGCATAGTGTAAAAACAACCACCCAAAATTTCAGAACACTAGAACCAAAAGCAGTACTTTCAAAATTCCTCTGGCATCAACACTAAACATAGTACAACCAAGATAAGAGACGACTCGTCTAATCACAACGAAATTCATGGCTTGAGCAAAGCAATGCCATATGCTGCCTCCTTGGGATTGCTCGAAGACATCCATCACAGTGAATCTCAGAATCGAGATTGCATGGCGGTGGAGAAGGATGTGAAAAAATTTCTCCGAACTAAAAAGGCAGAGGAACCCGAGGCAGCTAGAACAGGTCCAAGAGCGATGAGGAATCAGACCGAGCCACCAACCTTCGAGGAGACACTAAACAGCCACCGCAACCAGCTAGAGGAGACTCTACCCTCCACAATCCAAAGACTGCCCAAGCAACGGACAACCAGCCTGGGGATGCCGAAAGGAGAAAGCAAAGAATGGCTTCACCCTAAGACGATGAACCCACCAAACTTGGGAAAACAATCGTCTCAAGCTGCAACCTCCAGTTCCCTCTTTGAACCAGCCCACAATGTGAACCTTAAAAATTGAAACGAAGAGACAAGCTCAACAGAAAATGGAATTGAAAATGAAATGTCATAACGGCTGGAAAGGAGAGAAAATAACAGGAAAAATCCGGGAAAAACTGTCCAGAGCATAAGCAAGATGAACAAAACCCGAGAGAAGGATTAAATGGGTTATCGCCGGTCACCAGAAGCCGGCGGCCACCCCTGGGAAAAGGGATGTGAAAGAGACTAAGAGAGAATGGGGGCGCAATTTTGAAAAAAAAGGTAGAGAGAGAGTTACCTACCAATTCCCATAGGTTCATTGGGTGATTTTTGAAAGGTCATTTTCCTTGGAATTTGAAGGATACAGATCAAGGATTCGAGCTGAGGCTATGCTTTAATGATGATTAAGTTTATTAAGCACCAATTTTAGTGAATGTTTTCAGGGATCACTTTTGGTAGATTTCAAAGGGTGTCATCATATATTTCGGGCGATTGTTTCTAAATGTCATTTTCCTTCGATTTTGAAGGATACATGCTATTCTTCACCGTTGATTAAGTCTATTATTGGGTGGATTTTTTTAAACCATTTTTGGCATATTCCAAACGGTATCATCACAAATTTCGGTTTTTTCGGATGATAATTTTTCTCATATTTTGGCAAGTTTTTGGGAATGCTATAATTCACCGATATTGAAGGCTATTCATCACATATTTTCTGATTTATATCAGTTATTATAGTCCGATTTGGACAGCTTGACCGAGCCAAGAACTTGATATAGTAAGAAAATGCCAGAAATCGAAATGGTACCATATATATAAAACCTTGCCTCTCCAGCCGCCTCGCCTCTCTCCAATTTCTTTTTTGGATTTTCATTTTTTTTTCAGTGGGCGGCTAGAAATCAAAATCCGGTTAGTCGGTTTGAGCGGCACGAACGTTTAAGCATTTTGGCCACTCGCCAACCGGCTATTCTACTCATTGCGGCTTTTGGACTGATACGGACCGGTCTGACCTACGGATGTCGGTTTTAGCGGTCCGACCAGCCATCTCGGGTCTGCTTTAATAACATTGGTTAAAAGCCAATTACTTGTGTTAGACGTTTGTTCGTTTGGTTCTCCAACCGTACTTAAACCTAAACTCCCAATCTAAGCGTGACGATATGGGAAGAGCAAAAGACGAATGTGAATGAATATGACAAAACCCACAACTGTTATTATCCATTACAAGTGTACTCTTCACATTTTCTTCCCCTTTCTTTTAGGGCTGTAGTCTGTAGAGCCGGTTAACATTCGATACCGTAAAAGAGCGGGGATCCAGGAGGGCCCAAGGTTGATAGCGCGGAATATGTGGGAAGGGAAACCCTCCTATAGAGCGAGCCTCAGAGGGTTCAGAACGAAAGGGAAGGGAAACCAAACCTTTTTTCCCCTTCTTTTTTGTGCAGAGGACGAAATGCGTGAACCCCAAAAACACACTCAATTCTGTTTCAGACCACTGCCGTGTGTTGCGTTTTATACGTGCATGGCTTTACGTGGTTGATCATCCATCCATCCACACTACCCTTTTCTCTCTTCAAATTTTTTACCTTTCACTTCCATCTCCCGTCTCAATCCCGTTCTCGTTGCCCAACTTTCTAAAATCCGCAATGGGGAAGGGGAAAGAAACACTGCACAAGAGGAAGAAGCGAGGGAGAGAGGAATCATCATGGTGCAAAGAGACCACCGCCTACGGAAACTCACAGGCCAAAGCTTTCAAATCTTGCTCATCCTCCACCAATAAAGCTAACAAGGCATGCTTCAAATCATCATCGTCCACCGAGAAAGGTAACAAGCCAAGCCATTATCATCGTCATCATTATCATCGCAGCGACGATGACGTCATGAGATGCACCCGCAATGATGACGAAAAGACAGATGGATGTGGATCGTCGATTGCATCGGAGGAGAACTACATGGGGGGATTAGGGGTGTTTGAGTTCCCCTGGCTGAAGGAAGGTGTCAGCGGCTTAGTGTGCAAGACGGAGGAGGAAGATGAGCGATGGTGGGGCTTGGACGGTTCCTTCTCCGCTTGCCTCAACGAAATAATGTATAACGCATCGACTGGTGGTGGTGGAGGTGAAACCGGATGGTGGCCTGACATAGCAGCGGCAGGAGGAGGGGGCTATGCCTTTACCGCAACGTCGATGGACAAGTTTGAGGAGACAGCATCCGCTTGGTCATCCATCCTCGAAATGGAGGCGGCATCAACGACTTCCAATGGGAATCATCATGTGGATTTGCAGCAGCAACCTGCAGCATGAATCAATCTCAACCTAGGTTCCAGTAAAACCATGGATATCTTCCATCAAGCCTGCATCATCAATCAATCATATTCTAGTCTTTGGTCGTTAATGTAGTAGTAGATGTAATTAACTTTGGCGCTTAGAGAGAGAGAGAAACCATGTGTTCAGTGCGTTTATGTTCTCAAACAAACCCGCTTTCATCTTCTACATTTCATCATTAGTCCAAAACTTGGCCAATCTTGAGAAGGGGCACGCAAAACCGAAGAGACAACCCTTCAAACCATGTTGTAATGTAAGTATGTAACTAAATCAAGAGTGAGCAATAGCAAGAATTGCAAAGAACAGAACGTGTGTCTTTCACAATCCTTAACTCTGAAGAAAGAAACAATTGTGGCAAGTATGAGATGGAGGCAATACAACATTTCTTCCCCATCCAACTCAGAGCATGGTTGTTCATTATATGTTAACTTGGGGTGCCTGTTTATATTTGATAGTACAACAAAAGGTTATGCAGTGCTTTCTCGTGGTTATTCACTACCTGCAAGCATAAAATAACATATGAATGAGAACATTAGATAACCCTTTCCTCTTGATTTTAGCTTGTTTAAAGGTAACCAGATGTTCTTTTCTATCCACAAGATTTTAGTCGATGAGTAAGCTGAATATCAAGCCTGTTTTAGTCTAACCTGGAGCCAGAATCACAGATTTCCCAGTCTACTTTAGAAAGGTCCAGAAATTTGATGGTACCATCCTCAAGCATGATCTGCGGTAATAGAACAAATCACAGAACACAGTCATGATGCCTCGTTTTTGCAATTTACACAACAATACAGAGGCCGGAGGGGGGAACAGCTAAATAAACGAAAGAACATGTTACATACCTTGTGTTTTCTAGAATAATTGTCAAACTGTCTAATAATCCCGAAACTTCTGATGTTGAAGAAAGGATTTAGAGATGATCAGTGACAGAACCAAAGGGTGAGTTAAAGGAACTCAATACGATTTATTGAATACATCAGATAAGACATAGAACCTATAAGTACCTTTCATTTCTGGGGTAGTATACTCTGATCACCTTGCCAATGCAACTAGGGTAGGACTGATGGCTATCATGAGCATGCCCCGAACTCCCTGGATCGAGGAAAATGAAACTGTAATCATCAGGCTGACAAATTGGAGAAAAGGTTTACCAATTCAATGAGTTTTGAGGAGTGGGTAAACGGACCACAAATTTGAGAGTTTACCTATATGCAATCTTCCATTTTGAAAAACCTTCACAAAATAAAATTCTACAAATCAGTACGAATACAAACTAAGGTAGAAAAAAGAGGAAGAATTTTAAACTTTTGCCTCCAAATGAAGCAGCAGCTCAGTACATACATCCTTCCTGGACAGAAGTGCTTTGAATTCAGGAGATGCAACTGCAACCTGGCATGCAACAAACTGGAACGCTGCATCTGACGACATCTTATTAGGCTTGGTAGGTTTAACACCTAGCTTGCGCCTACAGTCGGGAGCCCCACAGTGGCAATCTTGATCTGCACCAAATTGTACAAACCTGCTGCCTTTATTAGATTGAACTGAATGACTTCATTGGAAAACAAGCACAGAATGACAAGTTTAAACAATAAATATATAAGAGAGGATGATTATATCCCTAAACAAAATGAAAACTTTAGAATTGAACAAAGCAGTCCTACTGATAATCATAGGTAAGATGCTCCCCCCTTTTAATGTCCCGAGTTGCAAATATACCAATTCTGGTTTCCCCATCAACTATCCTATAAAAGAAAACCAACAAACAGTTGATATCATCATAAAAAAGGTGCACCAATAATATGATAAGATAACTTTAATATCAGTACCATTTCTGCATCTCGGTATTAGGAGAGCAACTGTGATTTATGTATCTTGACTTGTTTCCCTTATATGTGGCATCAATAACCATGTCTCGGTTAATTTCACATAAATAGAAGTTTGTTTCTCCACGGTGTTTCATGTTCCACAGCCTCTCCTCGCAGGTCTTATCATCAATAACTGGATCCAACAACCACCACAGAACAAATAATAAATTTTCCAAAATGCTGCTGCAATGACAATAAAATAACAGGAGATAACAAGCTATGAATAAAAGAATCACCTTCTCCGACATATTCTATCACAAACTCTCCTTGTTTAATATCTTCATCAGCCACAATCCCAACTCCGCATTTGTCAGTCTACAAGCAGCGTAAATATTTAGCAACGTGTTCTGATGGTAAGAGATTACCTCCAGGTTTTAGATCATTAAAGAAAAGGACAGGAGAGACTATAGCAAGTACATGACGCAAAATCAAAATCCAGGACTATTAATATGAAATGGAGGGAGTGCTTCGAGGTCCAAAACCCATATATCAAGTTCCAACCAAAAAAATATCAACATGAAAATGGAGAGGGAGAGAGACTCAAAAGAGCAGTTTCCAATAGTATCACCAGTCTGCGTAAATTTATTACATGTTGCATAAATCTATCCCCCTCTCGGCAACCCAACTCTTAATCAATCTTTCTTCATCCACAAGGTTATTATATTGTCTAAACACCCAGTGATATCAAATACATATACCTGTATCATCTTCATCTTTTTCATAGGCCGTTGCTGGAACGGTTTGTTGAGACAAGATTTCCCACATTTGCAGCCTGAGGAGCAACTGGACAGCAACATCCTATAGAACCATGCAAAAAACAAAGAGACTCAGAAGCATGGAACATGAAACAGGAAGCAAGTAAATGCATTGTGTTAGAAACAACCTCATTATTCTAGTCCATGCAGTGGCCTCACAATTATTGTACAGGGGATGCAGACCTATCCTGAACTAAGACAGCTCAACAAGAGTCATCATGAACGAATTTGAAAGTACACGTCTCTGTCTCAACTCGATTACAGTGAATCTGGAACTTCAGGTTCGAGGACTAACAGACGAAATTATATTAGATCTAGAGTCGCAGTTTCATGGAAGTAACCTAAAGATTGATTCTAAGACAAGAGTTGGAGAGCAAATTCTTGCAACTAGCACTCTATTCGTAGCTAACCATTAAGGGCAGTAAATTAGGCAACAAAGATAGAAGAAGAAGTTTTCAATCTCTGGATCAGAGTCTATGTGGATAGGCAAGACATTGATCAACTCTTATACCAAACTATTATACCACTAGGTTACAAGCAAAGTGGAAAAGTACACATTCCAACATAAAGTAACTATGATAGACAAGAACTAACCCACAATGGCAATCTCTATCACACACACCAGTAGAACCTGGTGATGCTGTGCAGGAACAGAATATTCCATCATCCTCAAGGCGCCTTTTAACTCGCTTGGTAAGATATATGTCTTGGTGGCGTCAAGATAACAACAGAACCAAACAATTCAGAGCACGTGGCATGTTCAATGATACAAATAAGTTTCCTAGAAGAAATCATATGCTATGTATATATGGCCTTGAAGTAGCCTGAAGAGCAAAAGAGCAATCGGAACCAAGCACATGAGCAGGGGGAAATGACAGGATACTCCGTTTGATGAAGGTGTAGGGGAGAGGCTTCCCTTTGCCAAACCAATCTGGAAGCTCAAATTCAGCTGGGTTCCCTATTTGCTCCAGCAGTACATTGAATGCCTGTCTGAAGCGGCCACGGTCAGGGCTCTGTTAACAGGCAGTCACAGTGACACCAGCTTTTGTTAGAATGAGAAGATTGTAAAGTGTCAGAAAAACAGCAAATTTTAGCAAAAGTTTGAAGTTGAATCTTTCAAATACTCTAAAGGGGCAGGATGAAGTATGAGGCTCTGCCCCAGTACACAAAAGAAGTGGTTTTACAGTTAACCCATTAGAAATCAGTGAATGCTAAGAAAGGCCATGACTGCATAGCAAGATTCAATAATGAAATATACTCTGAAGAATCGCTCAAAAGAGGGATGAAGGAGAACGGGTCACTGTTAGTAACCACAGACAAACATCCTAGATTCATTACAGAAGATTAAGGCGACAAGAGGAGATGAGACACAAACTGACAGTTTTTTGTTTTTGTTTTTAGATAATGAGAAACTGACAAGAGTTAAGAGAGGGTGGGTAGTAGGAGTCAGCTTCTAAATCCAAGCGAAACAACAACAAACAAAAACACAACCTAACCAACTTTGGTTTGCCGAATTCTATAGGTATGGCGGGAAAACAAAGGATAAAATTCAAAAGATAGAGCAAGAAGTGAGAAGAAAAAGCACCTTGTCGGAAGCGGGAATCGAAGACTGGAGCAGCATGAACAAGCCGGAAGGTGGATTATGACTCGATGAGACAGGGGCGGCGCGCTGCGGCAGAACGCTGCGAACGCAAACCACCAAGAACCCAGATCCTGCAACCTAATTGTGCTTATGTTAAGCTGAAGGAAGCAAACAGAAAGAAAGAGGGAAACAGCTGAAGAACTGGTAAGGTAGAAGCAGGGAGTGGGCGAAGAGAATTTTGAATCCGAGCTAATAATGGTAAACGGAAGCAGAAAGCGAGACGGGCGAATTCAAAGCTGACGAGCAAGTCGGAAGAAGATAGTACGGGAGTGGCGCGGAATTGGAGTTGGGAGTTGGAGAGGGAGAGAAGCTTACTTGGGAAGAGAACAATGTTGAAGGGAGCTGTGGAAGGAAGACTAGGACTCTAGGAGTTGACAGATCTCAGAGAAAGAAGATGGGAGTGGGAGGTTGAAACTGAGAAGACCGCACAAGACAGAGAGAGAGAGAGAGAGAGAGAGAGAGAGGTAGGAAGAAAAGGGAGGGAGGGAAGTTACGAACACCTTTAGGCTTTATCTCACACCGAAGTCGAACCCCAACTGATCCGTTTCACTCAACTGGGCCGGGCTCATGCTGGAGTCAAGGACACAGTGGTCAGTGGGCATCAAATGTGCCAGTAAGTCTCGAGCTACCCACAAGTTTTCCTCTGGCCCATGGTTGTCATGCCGGTGGCATGCCACCCGGTTGAATCTAGTTTAACCTGTGCCGGTCATGAAACCGGCATGACATCACCGGTATAACCGGCATGATCGACTTACGCATTCTAAGTAAAATTACATCATTTTAATGAACTTAATGAATAAAAAAATTAATTTATTATTCATTTTATGAATATAATAGCTAAAAGTTGATGATATTTGTTGGATTGTAACTAAATTGTCCACAAATATGTTTTATATATGATTATATACATTAGATATTAATTGTTTTCACATTTTTTTAACCGGCATGAACCGGCACAAACTGGTTCTACCACCGGTCGTACCATTCCACTTGCCAAACCGGCACAACGGTATAAACCGGTTTGACAACCTTGCGCTGGCCCAAAGGCTGTGGCTCCGGTTAGTTAGTTAGGGGAGAGGTTAGAGTAGGGATGGCAATGGGCCGGGTTGGGTCGGGTTTTGCCAAACCCAAACCCAAACCCATGGGTTTATCCGTGAAAAAAACCCGGGGTAAAACCCACTGGGTTTGAAAAACTCAAACCCAACCCACTGGGTATCCGCGGGTTCATGGGTACCCACGGGTTTTTGTCGTAAAAAATTACAATAACAAGTTCCTATCAAAATTAAAACCAAATATCAATCTCTCAATACAAATTATTCATATATAAAACACCATTCAAGCAAATCACAAATTAACTATACAAATTGTTCAACACCGATCTAGAAAAACTCAAGAAAATTGAAGCAAATCATAAATTATCCATAAATAACATGATTAATTGAAAACTTCTTCCTTCCAATTAAGTTTCTTCACTGTCCACTCGATAACATCAACTTCGTTCTACACAATTAGAAAGAAAAATTAGACATGTCTCCACAAACATAAATAAGATTAGTTGTTTAGAATATTAAATATACCGAGAAAATTAATTATATGGGTGTGGGCGGGTACCCATGGGTCGGGTTTACCTAAACCCAAATCCAACCCAATCCGATGAATAGTGAACGGGTTTAAACCCAAACCCGGCCCAAAACCTGTCAACACGGATTTTACCCGCGTTAACCGGGTTGGGTCGGGTGGGTACCCGTGGGTTCGGGTTTTGTTGCCATCCCTAGGTTAGAGTGCTAACTCCGTACTAACTAGTCTAATCATCGTCTATTCTTTTAAATTAAATCTGATGGTGATTAGTAAGGAAGGGTTTATATGGTATTTCACAAATTAAAATAATAGAATAAAAAATACATGTTCTCTCTTTCCGGTTCATTATACATTTTCTACTAAAAACAATACTAATAAATTCTTTACTACTTAAATAAGTAGTCATTTAGGCGAATAGTAGTGATTTTAGGATTTTTGTTGAATATCGACAGATGGTTTTAGAAGTTGATAGTAGTATTTTTAGGGTTCGTAGTGATTTCCATGTAACTAGTAGTGTTTTAACATTTCTTTTTAATAAGAATCACTACTACAAAATGGTAAAATCAATGCTAAAAAGCCACTACTAAAATATAAATAATCACCACTACACCTTAATAAAATCACTACTACTAAATACTACTCATCAAAAATTCAAAACTACACAACTCAACCCAAAAACCCCCTTAATAAAATCACTACTACTAAATACTACTCATCAAAAATTCAAAACCACACAACTCAACCCAAAAACCCACTAAAACTTAACGGAAAAATACTACTATTACTTAACAAAACAACTACTATTAACATCGTTCCATGCGTTCCAATTCCTTTCTCTCCTTCTCGTCCACTTGATGGAGGATTGTCAGGCTATGCGAGCCCTCCACACCCCAAGAGCTGTTGGACTTCATTGTCAATGCTCGGCGCGTTGACCCCTACAGTGACACTTATAATGAGGGGTGGCGCCAATCCCAATTTCTCCTGGAGTGGCAACAACAACAGCACCACCAAGCCTCCCGGTTTCACAGCAGCGACAGGTACAACAGCCGACAGGAGCACCAACACAGGGTGACCAGATAACCAAGCTGCAAGAGCTGGTGACGACTTTTGTGAGTACCAGTACTCATAAGTTCGCCAAGGTAGACAAGTTTATGGATTTCACTATCGGGAAATTCAATGAACTAGAGGCTAGTCACAGAAACCAGCAGGCACTGCTGTAGGATATGGACACAAAAATCGGGCAATTGGCAGATGTCCTTGCTTCCCGACCGGTTGGAACGCTCCTTGGTCAACCCCTGCCGAACCCAAGAAATCACAAGGACAAGTGGCGGCGAATGGTTCAGGCCCCTAAAGCAACCAAGAAGAAAGCTGGAGGCCATTCTGAGCCACGACCACTCTGGCCATCCGGATATTCACTCGCTTGCATCCTGTCGGATGGCCAGGTCGAGTTATCATGTACTGATGGCCACAATCGCCGAGTTCATGGCCACCATTTGAAGCTGTACCTCAAGAGCGATGTGGATCCGCTCTTGGTGGCACTTGCCCCTAATTCGCTCTGAGAATCCACTGACTACGTTTAGCTAAAGACGTAAAAGAAATTCACACTTTGGGCCTTAGTTTAATCTATGCTGCACTAGTATCATTGGATCATCTATTTGTTCATAACAAAAAAAATCCAACTCAAATTCATGTACCATACTTTACTAATCTGTCAAAAAGTAAAGCTTATCACGTTTATTTAAAACTCTAGTGTTCATCTCTAATCAATTAGATACGGGTAAATTTATATGAATTATGAGATCACTTTGAGATCTTGCACGATGACGGATGCCGATTTAGAATGAAAACGGTTCCATGCATTGTTGGATCACTACCCCTCCTCGGCTCCTCCAACGACTTCATCGTCTACAGATGAGCCACCCAAATCCCCTGAAATGTGTTGCAATACAATTATAGTAAAACTTCCATGCGAAATCAATTTAACCAGATGAATTCCTAAACAGTAGTCGAACAGATCTAGGAAATACATATAATGCAATGGAAGTCGACAGCCAAATCCGACCCTCTAAACTTAACCACAAAATGCATCTACAGATAACATAAAAACAAAGGCGGAATTCCAAACATGACACCGTCAAGCTGCTAAATAAAGTCAAAAAGATAGTTCAAACTAATCGCCAGCGTATAATTTAGGGGCTAGTGCAGTAGTGCTTTTAGGGACAGAAGCCTAAGTTGAAAAGAACAGGGAGCGAGTGTGGTACCCGAGGGCTACCCGAAGAGATCGAGCTTAACGCGAAGGCCGGTGTTGTTCAAATTTCAAAGCGGCTAGGCGTCGCTCTTTTCTCTTCCCCGTTGAAGAAGAAGAATTCACTCCCTCAAAACTCAAAAGTAAGAAACTCCCGACCAATCCTTTTCCGTTCGAAGATCCTCCTTGCTTGTCTATACAAAAAGCGAATTCCAACTCCTGATCAAACAATGCTTCCAGTAGAAAGCAGGTCGGGAAGTACGAGGAAAGGCTGAGCCTGAATTCAGGCAGCGGGCGATGGTGGCGTGGCGAGGCAGATTTGTACGGAATGCAGCAGCAGCAGCGACACTGCTCCTCTACGTCTACAAGAACCAGAAACCCGATGGCTTCCTGCGATTCTCCCAAATTTGCAATTGGATGTCGGAATTTCGGCCACCGGACCCAAATCGAAATCGAAATCGCAATTGGATGCCGTAATTTTGGCGCAGTTCATGAACGGAATATGGTTTCTGTCGTTTCTCATTCTTTTTCTTGCTACGCGAGGGGCCAATTCAGCATCCGGTCAATATATCGCAAAAAGTCAATATATCATGAAAATATCGCGATATTTTGTCATATCGCGATATCTCGTCAATTTCAATTTATCGTCAATTTATCGCGTTTCGATTTTGGTTTTGTGGATTCGAAACGTTTCGCGTTTCGTCCGTTTCTGGTACCCGTTCTTTCACTTTGCGGGAGTTTCCCGTTTCTGCCGAGCGTCTGCCTATCTCCAAACCGAAACGTCGGCCAATTTCAGTTCTCTGGGACTTCAGTTGAAAAGAGAAGAAGCTTCTTGGGCCTTCGTTTGACTGAAACCCATGTTTTCCCCGGGCGTACGCCTACGCCCCCGGAAAACGACGTCGTCATTTTTGTTCTCTTTGGGCCTTCAATTAATTAAAGAAGCGGCGTTTTCGATATTTGTCAAAACGGATCCAAAACGTTTTTCGTTTTTCCCGTTTCTTGTATCCGTTCTTTCTCTTTGTGGGAGTATCCCGTTTCCGCCGGCCGTTTGCCTACCTCCAAACCGAAACGTCGGCCGATTTCAGTTCTCTCAGAGCGCAACGCAGAAAATGGTGCATTGTGTTTCTCAGGTACCGTTATCGAAGACCAACAGCTGCCACAGCAGCAGAAGAAATCATCGTCTCTCTTGGCCGACTGGAACTCTTACGCCTCTTCCAGAAACGCCAACGATGAAATTAAGGCAGCGGAATGAGTCTCGGGTTCGATCCAGAATCCGCCGTCCGGTCCGCTAACGAAACGGTTTCGGGAATGTGAGTGCCTCCTCGGGAATGTTCCATCGATCTACGGATGTTGGTTAGTCTGGGTAAGTTTCTTTACAATTTTGTGTTATCTTATGCTCCGCTGCTCTGGTGAGATCATAAAACTTTCTTTATAACTTTGGTGAATTATTCCCTTATTTTTGCCTTCCTAATTATGAGTATATTTAAGAATTTTGATTCCTTGGTAGGGAATGGGTTTGAATCTTCTATTTGGTGTTTCCTAGCCATTTTCATTGGTTTTGGAAATTTGAGCTCTCTTATTGACCTGAATAGAAGAAAAAAAACATGCTCCTGCGATGATAGGGAGAAACAAGCTCAAGAAGTCTAGTCCTTTGTATCAATCTATTCTAGCACCCTTCATTCTGAAAGATGCAAAGCTGGTTTTGCCTCTATTGTCTGTTTTAATAGCTGTTCAATGCATTGTTTCCTACCATGGGTAAGAACACCGTCTTTCACTTGTGTTTCTTTTTCACGTAATTTTCCTGGAGATCAATCTCTTTAACTTACTTACTTCTGAATTGATAATTTAAAGCTACGAAATGGAAGACTGGAGTGTCTAGAGTCTATGTTTGTTTGAACAATTGATGTTAGACTTTTTATTCATCTCTGTCAATTTGCCTTCTCTATTGCCCCATTTGATGGATGTGCTTCCTGCAAAGAAGTTGGATCATATACTTCTGTTTCTGGATACTCATAATGTATTATTGTCAAGATCGGCGTGTGTTTTGTTCGAAGGAGAAAAGCAATTGAGTTCTAGTGCAAAACGTTAACAAGAATAAGAAATTGCTGTTTTTTTTTTGGAAAATGATTAACAGGATGCTTAATATGCTATCTAGGATGTGGTTGTTACTTTCTTGCATTGTTTCTTGTGCTCCATCCCTTGTGGAATTATTTTGAAATGGACATATGGAACCAATGCTACTCCACTTCTTTTGGCAGAATGCGTCAATGCGAGGGGTTCAGCTTTTGGGGAGACTTAAACCGGGGCCAAGCAGGCCCCAACAATAATCCAGGCACCTGTACGAGGTAATTGCAGTTTGATTACTCTTGGAGTTAGTTTTGAAACGATAGTGTATACACCCGCAATAACAAGTTGTCTCAATGATAGCTCTTAGATGTCATCGTGTCTGACTAGCAGATATACAATGTCTGTGGAAGAATAATATACATAGATAATTCCTGCGGCACAATAATCTGCAGAGTTGACTACAGTGGTATCATAGAGCTAGTTGTGTACTAATGGCCCATAGTAGGAGATGAAGAAGATGGCTACTTGCATTTCTACTTCTAGGATTCCTGAAGGATGAGAGATCAAAGGTGATTACTCGGAGTGTAGGAGATGAAGAAGATGGTTGGTGCCTTTCTCGATGATAGTATTCTTTGTATTGTTGATGATGGAATTTGAAGTCGAATAGAGGTTGAATACCTGCATATATTGCTTACTGAGGCCATCCGCATGAACTGAAAGTTGATTAAGCTAAAGCTAGTCAGTAAAAGTTTTGTTTTTGTTTTTCACATTGTCACGAGTTCTTGTGTCATGCGACTGCTATCCGAACAATCAAGGCACAGAATAATAATAATTCAGGCACTACAGTGAAATTAGTCAGTCATGGGCGATTATCAATGAGCAAAATAAACTTTAGCTGAAGTTGAACCTCCAAAACTTGAGCAAAGCTTGTGGTATTGCTCCCCAGCAGGCGGGCATTGTTGTCATTGTGAAGAATGCACTGGGGAAGGTATATGATGGTAAGGCGGAGAAGATACATTGTCGAGCACTTGAGGCTGTCGAAGCCTATGCCATACTTGAAGCGACATGCATAACTGCTCACGAACCATGCTCAACTCTGAATTCTGATCGTGTCGGATTGTTTGAGTGTGGTTGAAGCCCTGAAGAAGGATGCAGATGAATGGTCGTTAAGTTGTGCAACTACGATTGCCTCAATTCTTTCTTCTTTTGAAGGTTTGGAGGGTGTTGTGGTTGTTCATCGTAGGCGGCATGAGATCAAAGAAGCTTATGTTATTGACCGTCGAATGGCTAATGGTACTCTGTTACCAGGATGGTTATCAAGCTTGTTGTAATTGAACCTGCTTGTTTTGCTCTATATGGTTCCTGATGGTTTTTCCCTTTTGCCTACTCTGGGTATTTTGTTAGAGGCTGTATGATCTCAGTGGCTTTTGTTTTGTGTACAATGATAACAATCATTACTTTCAAAAATTGAAGTGCCTACAATGTCCATGAGTGGTAATACATGTATATTCTATTATTCTAGATCATATGGTTTTTTTTTCTGCCAAACGATCACTCATAAAAAGAGGATATAGAACCGATCCAAGTTTACAAAGAAGCTATATGCTATAGTACCAAGCTACATAATCAAACCCCCTTTGAGAGCGGGGCGATAAATACAGAGCACGTCTGGCCACAGAATGAGTCATCCTGTTGAAGTTACGACCAACGAAAAGCACCTTTGAATCCACTAAATCTCTAAGCAGTGATCGAATCTCTTGTAGTAAAGCTCCTATCTTGAAGTCTGGAGTGTCCTTGTTACTATATTTATCAATAACAATTTTTGCATCACCACCGATAATCACATTGCTGAACCGGCGTCGCACACATTCCTGTAAACTGTCGCGCAAAGCCAATGTCTTTAGGATGTACGGATCTTCAATCTGGTGTACTTTTGCCACTTGCAGCCCCCCCCGCCCCCCCCAATCATCAAGCAACACAAAAGCCACAACCTTCGGTCAGCACAATGCACATCCTTTTTATTTATTTATTTTGTAGTTTGTTTTTGGCAAAATACATTTGTATAGCCAAAACTTTCGCGTTTGTGATAATAATAGTCAAATTTGAAGAAATACCACTTATAGCCACTTCCGTACAATACTTTAACGGTGTCATCTAACAAGCTGACTGGACTAACGGAAATGCTGATTTGGCGACATTTCATCAAACACTGCCATGTAGATTAATAAAAATAAATAATAAATTTAATGAAAATAAAAAAATAAATTTGAAAACAAAAATTATTAAAAAAACTCCTCATTCTCCACCTACTGTTTCTCATCCTTTTTCCCTTTACCAATCGTCTTTTACTTATTTCCTTCAAATCCACCGTAGCCACTCCTTTTCTTCCCAATCTAATCCTCCTCCCACATTAACGATTTCTCATTTCCTTCTCGATCCAATCGTCCCCCCAGTCCCCCATCGTAGCCACTTCTCCTTTCCTTCTCAATCCAACCGTCCACGTCGTCGCATCGGCGCCAGCGAACCCCAGATCGCTTGCAGTCTCCCCCTTATCTCATCTACCATTGTAACGCTTCCACCGCCACCATGGTTACCGATGCACGGGTGAGAAGCCAGAGTCGAAGCCAGAGTACCCGAAGGCTGCCGTGGTGGTTGCGAATATGACGAGGATGAGCTCCACCAACTTCGACTTCGATCCGGACCCTCCTCTACCTTCCTCCTCCACCCACTCTAGCAATCCCGTTTCCAATCCTAAATCTCACAAACCCAGCCCACAAAGACGACAAAACGAAGCTCTGCAGTGACAGGATTGGAGGTTTCGCCATCAAGATTCAGATTTGAAGACGGGTAGAGCCAAGAGAGGACCCATAGTGGAATCGATGTAGTCAGCGAGATCCTAGGGTTGGATTCCAGGTTTTGAATCGGGATTTTGGAGAGGTGACGTTTTGTCGTCGGTGCCCAATCGGAGTCCATATATGTTCTTGTGGTTTGAATCTTCTCCTTTTCTCCTCAAGCGAACGCGGCTGAGGGTTTGGTTCAAATGCAACCATTAACATGGGTTTGATGGTCATTGGGGGATTGTCGATTGGAGGACTGTTGCGAGGATGGGGATTGTCGATTGGAGGTATGTTGCGATGATGGAGATTTGTCGAATCTGGTTCGACACCTAGGGGCTGTAGGGACTATGAAATAGGACATGAGACTGTCGATTGGAAGGAGTGGAGAGAGAGAAAAGCAAAGAGAGATTCTTCTTCTGTTAACTGCACGAGCAGAACGATGACGACGATTGGCGAAGAAATCCTCCACCGAAGCAGATGAAGCTAAAGCGAAAGAGCAGGGAAGAACGATCGAGAAGCCGGAGCTATCGGTGGTTGGGTAGATTAAATCTAGCATGGTCCTCAGTCGGATGTTCCTCGATTTTTTACGGGTTTTTTTTGTTTTGTTTTCAAACATTTGGGGATTATGATATAAAAAAATATTTTTTAAATTAAATTATGACATGGTGACTATGTGGCAAGTTTGGTCGAGTGGTCGCTGACGTGTGCGCTGAGGTGGCTATCTATTCAGCATAATTTAACCTAATTGACGGAAATTCTAACACCGTAAAAGTTTGTAACGGAAATGGCTATATTTGTCACGTAACTTTAAAATTTTGGCTATAAGTGGTATTTCTCCAAATTTGGCTATTACTGGCACAACCGCGAAAGTTTTGACTATACGAGTGTATTTTGCCTTTATTTTTCAAGTAGTGAAGAAAGAGAGTATTTTGTTTTGGAGCAAAAGTAGGTGGAAGAAGTACAAACGGCACAAAGAGAGGCAATGAGGCATGTATTATTATTATTATTATTATTATTATTATTATGTAAAGAACAATGTAATGGATCCGGTGACACAATCGAGGGACAAGAAAAATATATGAATGTACCAATTAGAATAATGACTTACAAACAAGTCCAATCAAATTACCCTTTTTACCCCCTTGTATATAAGTCCAAACATTAATGCATAGTATATTTTAAGAGATCTTAAATTGATCGAAGTTTGAAATGTGGTATTGTATCATAATTCTTAAAGATTAAAATCATAGTTTTAATTCTATAAATCTTATACACTAAAATCAAATTTGATTAAAAACAACAATCTACGGTCGTGACTCTTCAAAATATATGCAACAAATTACATGCATCATTCTGGAGTTTAAGGTCTATGATTTATATAATAAAAACGTAGGGTTCACTCGTCAAGGGTTTAAGATATAGGATCGTGCCCCAAATTCCAGTCGATTCAAGATCTAGATATCGTATTCTTACTCATTGTATATTATACTTTTGATTCTACTCAACGTATAATAAAAGCCACCATATATATGTCACAAGTCCCAATTGATTACTATCGGACCGTTGATCAATGATCACTAAATTGCCAACTAACATTTTGTTTACAAGCCCTTGTTAAAGGGTGACAATCATTGGGTTGATGAATTTGTGTTGAATCGAGTATGTATGTAAGTATGTTGCATAATAGATCATTTTGTTTTAAATAATTAGGATGTATGCTTGTTTATATTATTAATTCGATTGAGTTGGTACGTAAACTAATTACCATATGAACACGATGGAAATTTTGATGAATACACACTAAGCTGCTGATATTTTAATTATTCCAACCTTATGAATGTTAATAATCCAAATCAAAAACAAAAAATAAGTTTTCCATTGTTGGTGTATGGAGTGTTAGGTGGATGAGGAGTTTCCAAGAGAGCTTGGAACTCTTGGAATCTCGACAAATTCATGACACCCAAACACAAACACTTGGCCAACGAGAATGGAGTTGTCTTGTTTCTAGATAGATGCTTGATCAATTCCCCCAGGCTCCCCCTCGCCTAACGGGTATATTTCCAAAAGCTCTTGTGTTTTCTTTCTACTATTGTATATTGTCTTCTACGGTACTCCGGGTGAAATTCGGAGTACCGCATATCTTGAGCATGAAAACGGTATTTAGACCTCGAATTAGCTAGATTTTTGGGTCTGATACTATACCTTATACCCTAAACCCTAATGAATGAACCCTCGGTCCTAATTATCTAAATCATAATCTATAAACCCTAAGATGATGCATTCCTTTTTGTGCCTATATTTGGACGAATCATAACAATCGATTATTGTTTCTAATTAAATTGATATTTGAGTATAAAATTGGGAGATTTAAGACCTAGATTTTGATCTTTAAGAGTCAGAGTATAGTATCATGTCCGAAAAATCGGTCAATTCAAGGTCTATATAGTATTTTCATACTCAATGTATGCAGTACCCCAGATTTTACCTTAAGGTACCGTAGAACTCGCCATATATATATATATATATGGAATATATATGGAACAATTATCTTTATCATGTTTAGTTACCAATTTAGGTACATTACACGAGACAACGATGATCAAAAAGAGTTTTGATGGATCCTATTTCTACCTCTTCTATGGCATTATTCCATCCACTAGCTATTAACTTTTGCTATTCCAATTTATTTATACCATTACTCAAATGAGTCAATTATCTTTTAAGCATTTTATAATAATATATCTCGAGGAATGTCATAAAGCTAGGCTCATTTATATTATTTGAAGATTTAAATTTTTTTATGACATTGAATAATAAATAAGTCTAAGATTTTAGGGGTCGTTTGGAAGTTGTGAATGTTAAATCGTTGTATTATAATGAATCACCATAATATAATGGATGTTGTAAGTATTGATACAATGGATGCATTCTAACAATGTATTATTTGGTTGTTGAGATTCTACTTTATGCATTTATTTACATAAAATTACTTTTATGGGGAAATATTATATTTACCCCCAACTTTTAGTATAAGACAAAAACTATTAGGGATATAAATGGAAAGAAAAAGTTGACAAAAATCTAAAAGCAACAATCACAACATTGACAGACATTGTTTTACTTGTATAATGCATCATTCTTTGTGATTGTTGGTGGGACCTACCTAAAACAATGCATGCATTGTTTTACAATTTGACACTTCCAAACATTGTATTTTGCACAATACATGTATTCAACAAACACAACTCTAACAATCACAACTTCCAAACGACCCCATAGTAACAAGTCTCTACATAATAATAATTCAAATTTCAAGGTGATGATGATATGATATGACATTATTATGGTTGTTTTCGATAATAATCAAATCTAGACTAGGCCGATTCAATCTTGTGTTTAATTAGAACTAGATGCCTGCCAATGTGGTGATGGAGCATGTAGCCTGCTAGGATTATAAAATACGCTGAAGTAGGTAGTTAATAATGATTATCGATGGCTAGCATATATAAGAGCAAAATAAGGGCGGGCTAGCTAGCGGATATTCCGATTTGCTCACGTACGGTCGGCCGGCCGGCCGATGACGGCAGGTTAGTTAGAGAAGGCGGGCGGGTTAATTTAGTGGGTTCCCTCCCGGCCGGCCGGCCCTCATCTTATTCTGATTCTGAGTATTAATGGTTGAACCGCAAACAGACAACCAGCTAAGTGATGGATGGATGTAAAGTGTAAACATACAACGCAATGCAAATCAAATGATCGCTAGCTAGATTGTTGGCCTGGTCTGGCCTGGCCATGTATAGATAGAGAGGGAGCTAGTGAGTAGTGAGAATACAATAAGTTAATTTTAACTCGATCAAATATATGGTTCAGCCTAATGATGAAATATATATTATTTGTTGCGTGACAACACTTGCTTAAATGACTCATTGGTGGAATTGAGTGACAACCTTGATCATAACAAATTAGACTGAACAAATTTGTTGTATATTCTTTAATGGGTTATAGGTATAATATACTCCTCTATTATATATATCAATTAAGAATTCTATTATTCACTAACGAATGACTCGCTAAATTTTGCTTAGTTTTCAATGAAAGACGAGATGCAGTTAATTGATTTACGAGCTCAAATATACCTCTATACCACTAAAGCTACAATCATTGTGATCTTTATTTGTTCACTCACCTCTGCCAATGTTTACAGGTTCATATTTTGCTATGAAATTTAGATAAAGAAACTTTAAATCTCACACATTTAAAAGTAGGAGATGGAAACTATGTAAATAAGCTATTGCAAATTTACTATTTTGAAACCCAAACTGAAGGAATTTAGATCATCTCATTTCGCAATAAATTAAAAAGTCTTATGAAAAAGTGATACCTTAGCGTTGGATGTGGTGGTGAATGAACAACTAATGCCAAACGTGGCTTAAAAATTCCCTCCACTATGAATTGCAAAAAAAAAAAAAAACATCTTTCCCAAACCCAATTTCTCATTCACAGTAAATTAAAAAGTCTTATGAAAAAATGATACCTTAGCGTTGGATGTGGTGGTGAATGAGCAACTAATGCCAAACGTGGCTTAAAAAATTCTCTCCACTATGAATTGCAAAAAAAAAAAAAACATCCTTCCCAAACCCAATTTATTACCAGTCAAATCATATTTGGTAATATCACTTGGAGGTCATACCAATAAATGACTATTTAGTTTGAGTCTAATTAGACCTATTACATTGGCTAAAAAAATATCAACTCTAATGTAATTTTTGCAATTTTTCTTTGTATAACAAACATAAATGTGAAAATACCGATAATGAAGGTGTGAATTGGTTTAATGCGAATAGCTGGATTGTCGATATTTCTTTATAGGTATAATTATATGGACTCAAATATATTTAAAATTGTAAATTCGATCCAAATAAATATTTTTCTGCTCTAACTCTCTCCTCATTCCAAAATTAGTAAATTACAATAATCCGGCCAACGAGCCGGGTCTCCATATATCAGTATATTACACAACAAAAAATAATAATAAATACAGAAGGAAAAAATAAGTAGAGAAGTTGTTTGGGGTTGATTTCTTTGGCGTCTTTCTCGTCTCTCTCCCTGGTTCTCCCCTCCTGCCTTCTTTCTTCTTTGTCTTATTCATATTTGATTATTTTCTCCATTTTCCAATTAAGCTGCCGTTTTCCATTCCGTCTTCTTCCCCAGATTATCACTTCATCAGCCAGCAACCATTCTATTCTATTGGTTCGTTTCGGGTTTTGTTTCTTTGGGACTTTGGCTGCCTGGCTTCCTTCTGGTTTCTATCTGCCTGCTTCTCCAGTTTTAGCAGAGTCCCCTTGCAGGGAGGAAGAATTTCCCTTCCATTTCCCATCTCTCTCTGTCCAATTGGAAAAAGCTGCAATTTTTCAGTTATACCCACCAAGATTTGAGATCTAATTCCTCTCCGTTGCCCTGTTTCTACTGATTTTCTAATCCTGCTTCTTCCGCTGCCGCCCGCCTGCCCCGCCGATGGTGTCTGGTAAGTTGCTCTTCCTTCTTATTCTCCTATTGCTGCTGCTGATTTTGTGCTTGGGAATGGGAAATTCACCCTGATCGTCATAGCTCTAGCTTCTTTGGGTGCGCTATGCATACACGTATTATTTCCCTCTCAGCTGAAGTTTTCTTTACTTTTGGGCATTCCAGTCTCTTGCTTGTCAAACGTAATTTCTGTCTTTCCTTATCTAGGTCTCCTCTGTTTCCATTTGCACGATCCTAATTGGATATCCGAGTTGTTAGAAACACTAGCTTCTTCTTTTCCCCTGAATTTGGTTGTTTTTACTTTTTAGGGTTCCATCCATCTTTCTATCCCTGCCCAGTTATGTTCCCTTCGATTGCGGTTTGCTTGCTAGCTACGCCCCATCCTTTCTTTTTCCTTGATTCATCTTATCTGTACAGCTGCTTCGGCATCAGGCTAAGTTGGATGAATCCCCTTAGTCTGAAGCTCCACTTGGTCCCTTCACTTGCCTCTTTAGCTTTGCTGGTCCATCTCAGTCTCAAACTAGCAAAATTTGTGTTTATTCTGTGGTAGAGTTCATAGCTAGCTGTGATTTCTATCCAGTTACAACATTTGCACGAATCCTTCTTGTATGCTACACCAGTGGATTCTTGAGCTATTGTTATCTGCAATCATGGTGTATGTGCTTGTATGCACTCTCTCCGTATAAGTTTGGATGCTAAACATCTCGGCAGTGAATGCTACGAAGCAGTGAAGGCTGAAAAATTAGCTTGAGGGATAGACATGAACTTTGTTTGTTAAGGAGACCGAGATGGTTTTCTGTTTAGGTTGCTGGGTTGATGTGGATGTTGTGCATCCAATGTTAAGGCTTTATTTTCAAAACAATGGAAATTGTATTCGAATTGAAACTCCTCATGTGCTACGGAAAATATCCATCAGACATTTATCAATATGCAATCTTCTCGTGCTCCGTAAAATCTATGTAATGGCATCCTTCTCCGCCAGTTCTGTTTGAAGTAGAATTGTCCGCTGAGATGCCGCTTGGTGAAAAAAAAAAACAATTGGGGGTGAAAGATGGACGAGGAAAGACCTATTATGATTACATAAATGCCTTCTCTAAGTGTCTTGATGTGCCAAATGTTAATTAGATTAGTGATTCCTCGTCGTAGCTTCATGGTCGGATGTTTTTCTGAATCTGAACTACTCCATTTATAAAGTAGGATGCTAGGTCATGAAAAATTTGCCAACTTTTGCTTTCTGCTTCCAATCGAATGTCTTGGATCTGGTTGCAGATGACTGATGCATTTTCCAGCCCAACTATTGATCCAAGTTAAAGTTTGGTTCCTAAAAACACACTAGTTCATGGTCATCTAGAAGTGAGGTGTTTTTGTGCAATGGACCCCGTCGATGATGGGAACAACATGCACAACCAGAGCCTTGCCTCCAAGCAGCGACTGCGCTGGACTCATGAACTTCATGAGCGTTTTGTTGATGCTGTAGCACAACTTGGTGGGCCAGATAGTAAGTCTCTTCAGCCTTTATCTTTACAGTCCTTTTATATATTGGTTGTACTCCAGAATTTTCTTGAATTTGCATATTGTATGAATCATAGAAGCATACTCTATATGACCTCATACAATAGCTATGTTGCTTTGGAGGAGTTAGGGTTTTGAAGGTCTTTTCTGCTTGTACCTTGCCGTACTCCTATAATTACTTATGTAGTTATGTTGGACGATTTCTCCAGGGGCTACTCCAAAAGGTGTTCTCAGGGTCATGGGTGTACAGGGCTTAACTATATATCATGTCAAGAGTCATTTACAGGTACATTAAACTTGGTCAGAATTTTATTCTCTCATCCTTTCTCTTGTTTCCTGTTTCATGAGGTAGGAGGGAGAGGTTTCTTGTCTTAATTTGCCTGGTGTCTTATCTCTGTATCATTTTTTGTTGTTGTTGTTGTTGTCTTGTATCTCCTTTCTCCATCCAGAAATACCGACTTGCCAAGTACCTTCCAGACTCCTCTTCTGATGGTTAGTACATTGTTCATGTAGCTCTTAATTGTTGTTTGTAAAATGAGCTAGGTTCTGGTTCTCACGCAGACTTGTGCTTTGTGCTAGGGAAAAAAGCTGACAAGAAAGAAGCCGGGGAGATGCTTTCTAATTTAGATGGCTCATCGTAAGTGAAGTTGGCCACCTTCGGTCTCCTTTTCTGTCAGTTTCTGTGTTGCTGCTCACTTTTGTCTGTTCTGATGTACCTATTAATTTTCTTTGTTTAGCTGGAGATGTGGCATGAAACTTACTATGAATTTTGTTTCCTTTTGTAGTGGAATGCAAATCACAGAAGCTCTCAAGCTGCAGATGGAGGTGCAAAAGCGACTTCATGAACAGCTAGAGGCAAGTTTCTTCCTCCCGGGCCCAAACACTATATATGATTATTATGGTTTATTTTCTGATGTGGTAAATCTTTATTTGCTGGACTTCTTATATCACTCTGCATGAGTAATAAAAAGCTTGTTCCTTGCTTATGTATTATGATTTCTCGTTTCATTTTGCTCTAGTAAACTACGTAAGATGCAATGTAGGACACAAGCGGTCAGAAAGGCTCCATTTTTGTGTGGAAATACATCCATTTTAGGCCAAGGGCCTTTTGATATTATGAAGCTACCCATAAGGTGTGCCAAACAAGGGTGAACCCTGGGATTTATAGGTCATTTGGTCTGCTGTCTTATCTTGATTCGAATAAGCTCTCTGACTCTAAACTACCTTAAAAATTTTGTTTGAAAAGCTTCAACTCTTACCCAACACGTACTACATGCGTGTTTTTAACATGACAGGTGCAGCGGCAGCTGCAGTTACGTATCGAGGCACAAGGGAAGTACTTGAAGAAGATAATAGAAGAGCAGCAGAAGCTGAGTGGAGTGCTTGCAGATGGACAACCACCTGGCTCTGGGGGGATTCTTCCACCAGCCCTAGGGTCATCAGCTGACCTAGAATCCGACAAGACCGATCCTACAACCCCTGTCCCAAGCGAGTCCCCGCTCCAGGACAAGGCCACAAAGGCCAAGAGCTTTTTGATCGCTGAACCACTCCAACAACAGCATCACCACCCGGAGCCAATGACCCCTGATTCTTGTGATGACATGGGCTCTCCAGACGATGATAGTCCTACAGCCGAAAGGTCGTTGAAGAAGCAGCGTCTAAGCATGGGGCCAGGACAGTTTGGTAACAAACCGGATATGCTTTTCCCGCACCAGATACTGGAGTCTAGCTTGAACTCTTTCGCTCAGTCCCAGGCTCACCCTGTGTTTGCTACCAGTCGAGAGGCGTTTGATCCTTCAAATGGGCTATCGATTGGGATGGACAGTCAAATGGAGAAGATTTCAGGAGGGGATCTCTAGCGCTTGGATGGTGGGCTCTTTAGAATTAATTGACTTGGGGTCATTTTATTATCATCATCGTCATCCTGTGTCTTTTATGTAATTTGGGGAAGAAGAATACATGGTTGATTAATCAGGCTAGAAAATGGAAGATTAATATTAGCCAAGAGCCCAAAACAGACAAACAGACGAGTAAGTTTCTAAGGAAAAAGCAGCAGGCTGTTCATTATATTGTTTTTTCCCCACTTCGCCCTTTTCTCTTTTTTTTTCCCCCTTCCTAATATGCAGTAGATGCCTGTCTTGTTTAATTCAGAGAGAAATATTTGTGATGCTCGCTAATTTATCGTAGACTAGTCTGTTAATCCAATAACGCCTCTATACTCTGTTTGAAGAAATGCCTTGACATGAAAAGTGGAAACAAAGTAACCACAAAATGCAATTGATGGTAATACATGGCAATACTGCACCAGTAGAGTCAGACAGTCGGAACCAATAATATTTGGAGGAATCAATCAATTTTACAGTTATCCTCAGATCAGCAAAAGGATGGTGTTGAATTTAACAGAGATTGAGGGATCATACACACAACACAAGTAATGGGTACGGACAAGGTACAGAAAAGTAGTTGATCGAGTCAGGAAGAACGATGTCTCTGATGATTTACTCTTCCTAGTATGCAATGGAGTAGCAGTTTGCTCAAAGCTTCAAGCTTCTCGCCCGTCTGCTTCTTCTTTGGAGATTTCTGCTCTTTCTGAGGAACTGCAGCAGCACCAGCTGCTGCTGGCTTCCTTCGTATCTTCCGTAGCCAGTTCTATATTCGGGAAGCACCTCTTGACTGTTACCTACAGTTCTATATTCGGCTGAAGATGTTTCATTACTACCGCCTAGAGATGAGCATCTACCCAACTCTCCATATTTGAGCTAGTATGGGAGCAGCATTCTTCGCTCTGCTCATTTGCCTTATCCTGTAAACATCATTCATATGAACATCAACTCCAGCCATCACCTTATAAAAATAAAAAATAAAAAAAAACTCCAGCCATCACAAAAACTTACGTAGAGTGTGTGATTCAAACTAAACAAATATTCAGATAAGCACCAGCAAGTTCAATAGGTCGCAGATGGTCTTATCATCTGTTCTGTTGCCTACCGGTGCCTGCATTATCAACAAAAAAACAAATTGCAACTTCTTCAGATGTACACAGAAGGTAAACTCTGAATGGGGGATCTCCTCCAAATGCGGAGAAAAGTCCGTACTACTGTATTAGTGCAGGAGCGACTTCACAAAGAACTTCAGTAAATGGTTTTGCTGGTGGGATGTTGGCAGGAGCAGAAGATGAACTTGCAGCATCAGTACAGGTAGAACGAATGCCTGTGATTATCTCATACAACAAACTCTAAGAAACAAAGAAGGAAGTACCTATTAAGTTTCCATGTTTTGCAATCCACTATTAAATTCGTAACTTAGGGATTATGATATTTCTCAAGCTTCCTTGAGCAAGCATTACTTTGAGGAGGATGAAGGATATTGAAGAAGAATATGGCAACCGAATTATAAGGGGTCGTTTGGATATATTATTTAGGTGAGTTAGTTCGGCCCAAATACCACGTTGACTTTATAAAACTTAAACGAGTTATTTTGGGAACTAGTTATTTGTAAATAATGCAAAATATGTTATTTGAAATAACACCCTATCCCCTGATATTTAAGAATAACATGTTGCGTGCTATTCTCTTCCCACTTTGTCCATTTATGTTTTTTCTTCTCCGTCGTCTCTTTTTCTCTTTCCTTTTCAACTCATTCTTCTTGAACTCTCAGATGGAATTTCCTCTTCTTCTCTTTCTTTTTCAAGATCAAATGGATGTTCCAACGAAAATCTTCGATTTTTTCTCTCCAATTCGTTCTTTTTTTCTCACAAAGTGGTTTTGATTTTGTTAACAAAGGTTACCAGTTCAGCGATGAAAAAAGGCGGTAGTGGGTTTAGCTTAGCGGCGAAGGAGGCGAATCGTCGATCTTTAGCGAGAGAAGCATCAGATTCCGAAGCACCTCTTGATTGTTACCTGCAGTTCTACATTTTGCTGAAGACGAGAGATGAAATAAGAAAATTTGTACTTTGTGAAAAAATATATTTTAAATGAAAATATGTCGATTGAGAGATGATGTGGCGGGTTGACCGTTAGTCAACAATTTTGACCGTTCAACATAACGGTCAGCTCTTGGGTTTGGCCAATTACATAAAGTTCAATATTAGTTTAGGTCACGGTGTTATATATATCAAAAAGATTAGCAATGATGTTAAATATGGGAAAAGTTCGGGCCAGACAAATATATTAACCCCTAAAAGTTAACCCGACCGACTGTGTACAAACTAGTTTATCATCAAATTAAAATAAATGGATAAATTGCAAGGTTAGTCACTGAAATTACTAAAAACGTTTACGTTTGGTTACTTAAAATATTTAATTTCATTCGTGGTCCCTAAAATTAGTTAAATATTTCAAATTTGGTCACTCTTAATCCAACTGTGTTAACTTTTACTTATGTGTCAGTCAACTTCTTATAATTGACAATTAAATGGGTAAAATAACATTTAAAATAATAAAATAAATAAAATCTAATTTCTTGAAATTTCCACCCCACTTCCAACTATTGAAAAATATAATTAATTAATTTTTTTATAATCCAACAAAGTCCTCCCTTGCATTTCCCCGCCGCTTCTCAACTCTATTCTCACAGTCACTATCGTAACCCCTGACTGATGAAGATTGAACAAGCTCTCTCTCTCCTCCCAGCTTGTAGTCGTCGTTCACTCTTTCACTGGCAAGATCGTCTCTGAGTCTTCCAAATCTCTATGTAGTCGTCGTTCACTCTTTCGTTGTCAAGATCGTCGCTGAGTCTTCCAAATCTCTAGTCGTCGCCACTCATTCCTTTTCCCGACAAAATCTCATTTCCTGCTCACTCCTTTGCCCGCGAGATTAGGGAAAACGTAACGATAATCGAGGTTGTATACGTGTCGTGACCGTCATAATCGCGAGGGGAGCGGAGCTCGAAAGTCTTTTTCATCTTCCCGTTGGTGGCCTCGCACCCTACGTAGAAGAATTTCTCCTCGACGAGTTTGCGATTGCAAGAGTAGGAAGGGAAATCGAGAGAAGCGGAGGCAGCAAGAGCGCCTGAAACTGTGGAATCTTCCGTGCGAGGATGCAGGTTAAGACCTTGATCGTACATCGGATCAATGGCGTTAAGCGTGGCAACCCCAAATCTAATCGATTAAGAAAGTCTCTGTCGAGGACAGGTCGGACGAGATCCGGATTGCCGTCCGGGTTTCTGAGGTCGTCGTAGACACCATAATCATAGATTCGTTCTCCTTTCTGACACTATCTCTAACCATTACCTTGGAGTAGTTTCAGCTCTTCTTCTCGGTACTTGGTCAGTCCGTCTGGGGTCTCCGACGACAAGTACGACAACCATGGAAAGTGATGTCAGATTTTCAATGACTAGAAGTTAACTTTTATCTTTTTAATAGTTAGACATGAAGTGAGAATTAAAAAAATTAAATTTTATTATTTTGTAATTTCCATGTTACAATTTTAACGGTTATTTATAAGAATTTACCTATGGAGTTGGAATAAGGTAAGAATCGGTTGACTGGAGGAGGGGCTTAACTGTAATTGCAAGCCTGCGATTGAAATTTCAAAATGATGGCGCTTCGAGTTTTGCTCCAAAGCAGAAATTCCCCGCTCTCCCTCCACGCCTCTAAAAAAAAAGGAAGAAAAAACTATACCTATGTTAAATATAATTCTCACAGCAGTCAGCGTCCCAGTCTCCCAGACACCAACTCCCTTACTCAGTCCCTCCTTTTCTCCCCCAAATTTCGCAAACCCTAAACTCTCCCCCGCCCCCCCAATGGCTAACGTGATCCAGCTCCCTTGCGATGCCAACGGCCATTGCATGGTCTGCAACGCCAAGCCACTTGCCGAAGAGACCCTGAGTTGCTCCACCTGTGCTGCACCATGGCATGTCCCTTGCCTGTTTTCCAAGCCAGAATCCATGGCTTCCGTCCTCCAGTGGCAGTGTCCGGACTGCAACCTCGATGCCCCGGTTGCTGCTCCGATCTCCTCCGGTAACGAGCTGGTGAACGCGATCAGAGCGATTGAGGCTGATTCGACGCTGACGGAGCAGGAGAAGGCTCGGAAGAGGCAGGAGCTGCTCGGCGGGAAGAATGTTGACCAGGAGGGCGATGAAGATGATGATGACGAGAAAGAAGGCGGAGGTTCTGGCAATAAAGGGAAAGGGGAGAAGAGTGCTGAGATGGATGCGTTGAAACTGCTCGGCGAGAGCTTTAATTGCTCCTTTTGCATGCAGCTGCCTGAGAGGCCTGTCACTGTGAGTTTGAATCTTCTCCTACACCTTCAACTTTAGTCTCGCTTATTGTTGACCTCTTCCTTATATCGTGCTGTTCTTTTTCTGGATTGCTCTGTCGCTCTTGACTGATCTGCATTTGCTAATCCGACTCGAGACCTCTTGTTAAGCCAAAAGAAATCCATATCCCGAGTGTTCCGCCATTGATGCTTAAAAGTTTCTTCTGGACACCACCGCATTATTCTGTTTGTGCAAATTTACCCTTACGCAAGCTCTTCCCGTAGAGTTGTTCCTTTGCATATTTTTTCTGTTTGGCTGTGGCAGCTCTATAGCTGATGACCATTGGATCCCTGAAATTAAAAACGCTAAAGCAGTAGATCATATTAACTAAAGAGTTGAACAAATTAATAAAATCTGGGTTTGCATTTCCCTACTCTGCGCCAAAAGTGTTAGCTAAGAGCAGTTATGATATTGAAACCCCAATCCCCTAGTCTCTAGCATATATTAATTGTTTCCCCTCATTTCTCTACCCGCAGACACCTTGCGGCCACAACTTCTGCTTGAAATGCTTCCAGAAATGGACGGGGCAGCAAAGGAAAACCACCTGTGCCAAGTGTCGTGCCAATATACCCCGTAAGATGGCAGATCAGCCCCGCATAAACTCTGCCCTTGTCGCAGCTATCCGTATGGCTAGGGTCTCAAAATCCATTTCTGATGGAGCGCCAGCTAAGGTGTATCATTTTGTGCACAACCAAAACAGGCCTGACAAAGCTTATAGGACCGAGCGGGCTAAGAAGACTGGCAAGGCCAATGCTGCTAGTGGCAAGATTTTTGTGACGGTGCCTCCAGATCATTTGGGTCCTATCCCTGCTGAGAATGATCCAGAGAGAAATCAGGGTGTTCTTGTAGGGGAGTGCTGGGAGGATAGAATGGAATGCAGGCAATGGGGTGCCCATCGTCCTCATGTTTCGGGTATCCATGGGCAAGCTGAGTTCGGGGCACAATCTGTTGCACTCTCTGGAGGGTATCAAGATGATGAAGATCACGGTGAATGGTTTCTGTACACTGGAAGGTTTGTTTTTTTCCCCCTGGATTTTTGCAAGCTCTTATGATTCCACTTTGAAAAGATTTTGATGCATATATACAAATTCTAGGGTCTCCTAAATTTTTGATTGACGTGTTGTATCATGTATGAATTGCTCGTGTTTGGGCAGTGGAGGGAGGGATCTTAGTGGAAACAAGAGGACCAACAAAGACCAGTCGTCCGACCAGAAGTTTGAAGCTGCGAATCAGTCTCTTAGACTTAGCTGCATAAAAGGATATCCTGTGCGAGTTGTGAGGTAAAGACCTATCCACCTTTCCATACTCATCGATGCCTTTGTGTTTGTTTGATGCCCCTTCAACTGTTAGCCGCAACTGGCAGGTGTCTCTATGTTGAAACCAAGAAATGTGCTTCACATGTTTGAAGTGATCAAAGCCACTATGTCATGTTGCAGCAGCATGGTTGATGGCTAATTTAGTCTCCCTTATAAGATTCCTGGTTTCCCTTTATAGCGGCGTAATATTAACATTCTACTTGTGAGGATTCTTTACTTGTTATGCTCTAAGGCTAGCTCTTTTCAGTTTGCTAATAATACAGTTCCCATGAGCAGGTCGCATAAGGAAAAACGCTCAAATTACGCGCCAGAGGCTGGAGTACGCTATGATGGCATCTATAGGGTTGAGAAATGCTGGAGGAAAGTTGGAATCCAGGTGAGTCATACATTATTTATGCTTAGTGCAACTAACGAGAGCCAAACCTTTGAATAGTTGTGCTAATACATTCGCAACTGCTCCTCAGGGTTTTCAAGTATGTAGGTATTTGTTCATTAGATGTGACAATGAGCCTGCACCATGGACAAGGTATAAACTCAGTTGCAGCTGCTGCACTTGTTTCAGTACATACTGTTCCCTCTATGACCAAAAGCTACAACTTTGTTTCCTGTGCTACAGTGATGAGCACGGTGACAGGCCTAGACCATTGCCTAACATCCCAGAGTTGAAGAAGGCCAAAGATTTGACGGAGAGGAAAGATGACCCAGCCTGGGACTTTGACGTGAGTGCAGTGAAAGAGCATTGATTTGTCTTCATGATCAATGAAACATATGATCTGAACTGCTTATTTTCCGGTCGCAGGAAAAAACTAGCCGTTGGACATGGAAGAAACCTCCACCGCTTAGCAGAATGAAAGTGGACCCTGCGGATCCTACTCAGATCAAGAGGGCAAGGAAAGCTATTAAGGAGGCACAGACTCAGAGTGTTGCAGAAAGGCTTCTGAAAGGTTGGAGGATCCTCTTTTTATCATGTACTTTAACGTGATTCATTGTGCCTTCTGCTGATCAGCTTTTGACCAATTGCAGAGTTCAACTGCCTCATCTGTAAGCAAGTGATGAAGGAGCCAGTCACTACACCGTGCACCCACAACTTCTGCAAGGACTGCCTGGAGAAGAAATTCCCGAACAAGCAGTTCACCGTGGAGAGAAGCAGAGCAGGCCGTGCTCTGCGTGCTAAGAAGAATGAGCTGAATTGCCCTTGTTGCCCAACTGACATTTCTGACTTCCTCCAGGACATGAAGGTTTGCATCCTGGTGCTTATACAAAGCATGATCATCCTTGCCTGCTTTCTCTCTCCTGATGTCTGCGTCTTGTCTGAAAAACAGATTAACAGCGAAGTGATGGCAGTGATCGAGAAGCTTCAAGCTCAGCTTGAAGAAGCAAAAGCTGCGGCTGCGGCTGTGGCTGCTGCTACTGCTAGTGAATCTGGGGAGGAGAATCCTGAAGCAGAAACAGAAGCAAAAGATTCAGAATCTGAGGGACCCAAAAAGAGGCAGAAAGGTGACGGGAGTGATTCACCCTCCAGCCCTCTTCATATTCAATAGTTCTCTTTTAAGGCTTTGTAATTTGTAAATCTGCACAGTTATCTTACTGACCACTAAACTGGGAGCTGGAAAATCTCTGTTTTTACGTTTTCATCTGAAGTTAACAACAGTAAATATCTATGATGTCCAGCTTCTTGTCGTCCAACTGCTATAAGTGAAATCATCTGAACGAAGCAAGCTCCAACCATGTATGCTCTCCATATTATGGCAAACTATTACCATAATGACAATCAATAAGGCCCTTCAACAACTCGACAAGACTCTCGACTCTTAACTAAAACGGAATGACTCAAAGCATAGTAAACCAGACGACAACATTCCACTTTATTGACACATACAAACTTGAAATGTTGAGACTTGGCAGCAAACAGAATCCTTCTCTTGATAGAGAGATATTGTCCCTATAATTTATAGATGTATCTTCAAAGTCTAAACGCAAGAATCAACTTGTATTGAAGAAATTCGGGAAAATCAACTTATTCATTATGCATCATATAAGTTTTGATTCTCCCTAGAGCTAGCGCATGAGCCAGGAATCGTTACATGAATACAAAATTACTAATACAAAGGAGATCTCAAGCAGTTGCAACGTGCAAAGGATATTATTTGGTCTTTTAGCTTGCTGCGTATCACTCCAATGTGAGACGATGCAGCTTATAGACAAACATTCTCTGAGAACTTCAGTTTATTTTCTTAATGAATGATGGTAGTAAAGTAAACACAAACAAAATCAAAGCGATCAAGCAAGCTATAGAGTAAATATAAACAGCCTCCACATTTGTGCTCAAGACAGCAGCAATACATGCATGCCACTTTGCTTCTTCAAGCAGTAGTCTGCTTTTGGTTATAAACGGGCCGATGAAACTGGATTATTTGGCCTCGCACACTGCACTCCTCCATCTGATTAGAAGCAATAATTCATGTCACACAGCTGACAAGAGGATGAGAAACCGAAGTAATTTACTTGCCAAGATGTCAAGTAGTATAGAATATTAGAGTTAGAGAAAAGCCCATGCAGGCATGTCATAGTAGCGGTAAGCGGTTGCAGTCGAGAGAAGCAAACCTGTGATTTATGCATCAGAGACAAGAGACCTCCACATTCTTGAACGCGGGCTGTTTCTCCTCCATTCACCCTAGCTAATTCTGATACCAGTGTTTCGGTTTCTGCAGCCTGCATTGCCAAATTCAAAGCATCATATTGGCTATATTATTTGATGACAGATCACTTTAGAAAGAACTACATATACAAGCTGCTACCCACCTTAGGCATAAATCTTTCTATGGTGGAAGCAATCGATTCCATCAACTTCCCTGAAGTCTTCAATGCCTCTGCTAACTCTCTTGTATCAACCTGCGGTAGATAATTTCTCAGCTTGATGCTAAAAAATTAACTAGTTTCTTGCTTTACTTAACTTGAATACGAGGTTGAGGAACTTTAGAAAAAAGCAACGTACCGTAACATTCCCACCTACTGGAAGTTGGATTGATGAGTTTACTAAAGCTTGAGTTGTCTCCGATAAAGAATCCTTATATTCTCCTTCTATTGTAATCCATTCATCCAGATATGGCATCTATGGACAAGATAATGGTGATGATTAGGACAACATCCCTTTCTTAGGTACAAACCTACTAGGATATTATGCAGTTCAAAACAGTTGTTCAACAACTGGTTAGTAAGTTCATTGCAGAATCTGAATGCAACGACTTGACACGAAATTTGAGCTACTGAACCATGTAGCTACCTGAAAAGGAGAATAAATGACACTAACACCTTTATATCACTGTTCTAAATCCTCCACCAACTAGATTAATGAAGAAATCTGAGACATTTATGGTGAGCTATATATTACTATCATGCAGCATCCGCAAGAAGAATTTAGTATAATCAATCAAGGTTTGCGATCAGCGGAGAAACTGTTCTATGGCAGCCCGCGATCCCAGTCCAAAAATGTGATAGTTCCTATGTTGATTCTAAGTCTCTGCCTTGAACTTGTGACATGTTGAGGCCGACGACATGTTATTTAAGAAAGATTGTAGTTGAGACAAGCACAGAATAGGATAGACCAGGGCACATCATTTTTTTAATATAATGATGATGAACTTGATTGATAAAAGAAAGGAAACAGAGTTCAAGCACCACAAGCAGTGGGCAAAGGAAGAACAACAAAACAGAAAACTCAAGACAAAGACAGTGCAGCTAGAATGAGATGAGTCCGGCAAACCAAACGGACAATGAAGGCAAATAGACTTACCTGACTCTCCAGGACTGTTGCTAGAGTTGCCATTTGCTGCAAACGGGCAAGTTCAGTTCTTTTCTTTGTCACCGACTCATTTAACTCCGATATCTTGCAACCAAGGGAATACAACTTCATCTGAAATGGGAAATTGACATTGGTAAAACATGGGTGAGTACCATACAATGGCATGTGAAAGCTGATGATGCATGTGGTTGAATTGGTTCTCAATCAAAGCCAAAAGCTGACCTCGGCTTCTCTACTCTGGGCCTGCGAAGAAGACTCGGCTTTGGCATTGGCGTATCTCCACTGCAAGTAACGGTTGTGAATCATTTTCAGATAGTGAAAGTCCTCTTGCTGAGCAGAGGCTTTTCTTCCCCTTCTCGAAGCATTAGCATCGGTTAGGACCTTGGTGCGAGGAACTGGAGGCAGAGCAACACCCCCAATCTTGAGGGAGTGACCTACTTGCTGTTTCGCCGATTTCTCTGAGCCCCTTAACGAGTGAAAGAAGGAAGAGTTTTCAGAGGAAGATCGTTGCAAATCCAGAGAGCGGGAACAAGGCGAAGCAGAGAATTTCGAAGATGTTGTTGCTGAAGTTGTTGTATCTGAAGAAACACTCGCGGCGTCATCATCCAGCCTGGAGAGTGTGTTCACATTTCTCTCCGTCAGTAATCTACTGGAGACGGTAGCTCGCACAGGCACGGAAGAGCGAAGGTCCGGAAGAGACCGTGCAGAGTTGCTCCTCAAAATGTTGCTACTACGGCTGTCGCCGGAACTATACTCGCTTGGGCCGCAATTGAGATTGGCAGAGAGATTAAGCGAGGATGACGATGACATCCCAGTCGAGGAATGAAGCAATTTGGCGGCAGTCGAGTGAGTAAGATTCGTGGAGGCAGGCACGGCAGTGTTGCAGGAACGATGATGCGGCAACAGTCTCGATGTGGGAGGAGCGGTTACCATGGGAGTGTCGGGGCGGCGGTGGTGAGATCGAGATTCCTGCCTCTCGCCGTTTGCATTTTCCTTGAAAAGTTTGACGATGGCGCGGTGGTTCTGAGGATGCATCCTATGAGGACTGCAGGCGGCGACTGATGAAGAAGTGGAGTTGTCGGCGGAGGAATCCTTATCCAATTCAAGATGGCGGCGTTGCTTCTGAACGGAGCTGGATCTCTGATGCTGCTGCGGGAGAGGGGAGAAGGAAGAGGAGGAGGTCGCCACGGGAGTCATGAACCTAGAACTGACCTCCCTCACTCTCTGTCTCCGTAGAGGAGGCGGCGGATTCGTAGGAGCTTCGACGGCGGTGCTGTGGTCTTCTCCCATTCTTGAATCACGATAGAAAATCAATTTCGGTGAGTGGAATCAGCACCTTGCTCGTTACATAGCCTGCGGAGATCACCAGCGCGGTGCCGAGAGAGAAAAAATGGGCGCTCCCTTCGTGGGACTCTTCACTCTTGTGATGTGATGTCAAGTGGAGGAGGTAAGGAAGAAAAATACAAAACCAAGAAAAGGAAACAGAGAGAATGAGAGCGAGAGGAAGAGAGAGAGAGAGAAAGTAGCCGTTATTTGTAACGGTTATTTTTTGGTCTGATTTTCATAATAATTTTATGGGTCATGCTAACCATTTTAAGGGTTGGTTTTTTGACACCCCATTTTAATTGGTCAATTTTTTATTAATTATTGACAAGTATAAATGAAAGTAAACATAATAAATGTTCTGTTATTAAATACACAGTAAGCATTAAATATACCACATTAATTACCACTTTACTGGTATTTGTACCACTGCACTGATACTCAGATATGACATTGCTACCAGTGCACTGATATCGCTACCAGTGCAGTGGTATATCTACCAATACAGTGGTACAACGTATCAGTGCAGTGGTATATCTACCAGTACAGTGGTACACCGTATCAGTGCAGTGGTATATCTACCAGTACAGTGGTACACCGTATCAGTGCAGTGGTATATTTTTTGGAGGTGGTCGGAGGGAGTCTGTCGATGGGATTTTCACCGGAGAAGTGTGGCGGTCGGAGGAAGTCTGGTGGTCGGAGACTGCTGAAAAAGAAAAAATCAAATATAGTGAGAGAATTCCTAATGTGTATTTAATGTGTGTATTTAATTCCTAATGTGTATTTAATAGTGAGAGAATTCCTAATTAATATGGTACATTTAATTCCTAATGTGTATTTAATGTGTGTATTAAATTCTATAGTTGTATTTAATATACTAGGGGGGTGTCATTTTTTCAACCCCTAAGGGGGGTTAGCATGCTAACCGACCCCGTTAATATGACTTTCATCCCTGTGTTTTGCAACTCTAACTAAAGCAAGGCCGTCCCATGATATTTGAAGGCTCTGTTCGAAAATTTAAAATGTGGCCCTAATTTTTTCCCCCATAAATTTATCAAAATTAAAAATTAGCAAATAATTGTAAAAAAATACTTAAGTTCAGAAAAAGATTACATCAGGAATAAACGATCTCGTTTCTAGTTTGACCAAGAAACCAAGACCGAATTCCCAGCCCTAGTAGGGAGGAAAGTAAATCTGGAAGGAAGAGAAAATGGATATAGCACAAAATTGAATGGAGAAATGAAAATAGTCTAAATTGATCGAGAGGTGCGTGGAGGGTTGTCTACTAGATCGTGGAGGCCCTATTTCAAAATCTAGACGTGGTCCAAATTGACCTTTAACTATAATAAAACTAAAATGATTATAATAACATTATTCAAAATGTAATATCTTTCTATATTGTTTAAATTAAAATTATCTATTATTTTTCAGATTTTCGTATTCTCCATGAGATCCTTTTCAATTGTTATTAAGCTAAATTATCTATTAAACACATCATCATACTCATAATCAATCAATCATACACTAAAAATACAACCTACAATATACGATAAGTAACTAACGAATTTAAGTAGAGGCCCTGTGCCGGAGGGCGGGCCAGCACACCCTCTTGGCCGGCCCTGACTAAAGCATACAAGTGAGAAGGACATCTCGATTAGAGTCGTTGGTAGCTTGTTGTGAATCCTTTGTGATAATTAATTAACTCATCTCCTCGATTTGAACTTTTAAACTTTTAAGTAATGAATGATTGTTGTTAGAGTAAATATGAATATAAGTTTACTTTCTATATGATGTTAACAAAAGAAACTCATAATGTTTACAACTTGATTAAACATCAAGTGATTCCTTACAATTTCATACAAAGATTTTCACCCAAATTCGTGATCCTTAGGGGTACGCGCAAATAATCTCATAGAGTTGAGTCTTTTGGGGATGCTTCAATCCCTAAAGTCGCCAATTAGCCAAAATTATGAGAGAGTTAACCTCATACTAGTCTATCCAGCATATGCTTGTTTAAAATTCTAAAGGTTGTCAAAGGTTTAAGTGTTCAACTACAATAATTCCCAATATAAATTTCAACACTGTAACTTTGTCCCAAATTTATAGTTAAGGTTTGTCAATTGACAACCCTAAACTATGAATAGGTCCGCCGCTGACCCGATCCGTCCCATATCCGCAATAGCATTAGACAGTGTATGGATATTGAGGTACCCGTCCTACCCTGCCCCATTGCCATCACTGGCCAATACTTATCTTATTAGCGTCATGGAGCAGGACATACATGTATGGGTCATTACTTCCTCCGCCCTTCCCTAGTCCACCTCTTCATTAACCTTTTTTATTTCAATAATATTCACTCGTACATGTGTTATTTTCACTTTTTTATAAATTAATATAAGCATATTTGGTACAAAGTTTATGAAATATCCAATTTTGATTTCATAAACATTAAAAAATTGCATATATTTTCTTCAAATCATGGAAAAAAATGGACAACCGATCTATCTCGACCCATACTCCGCATTGATATTCCCGTGTAGGAAAAAAACAACTTGCTGCAAAAGCAAGACTACTCCAAAAGACAACTTGTAACAGATCAAATTGACTCAATTGTGCTGTTTTGAGACAATTGGACCAAATTGTCTGGCTTTAATATCGTATGAAGTCACAATAAATCTGCTTTGTAAAACAAGAGTTTTGTTTTCCTAGTTCAATTAGGATTAGGTTCTTTTGCTACTTTTTAGTTCCTTTTTGTATTAGATTGTAATTAGGACTAATCAGGATGTGTGTAACCCTAGCTATGCCTATTTAAACGTCTTGTTTCATTGTAAAACTAAGACTTTGTTGGATTTGGTGGATTCCAAACTTGCTGAGCTTGTGTATCGATTGAATAGCCCCTACAATTGTGGTGGAGCAACTACTCTTTTATACCATACGAGCTTTCCCTAGGTGTGGAATTGTCCTTTGGTTCCGTTATATCCAATTTCGTATGAAGAACGCGTTGTTCTTGATTTGAGTTCAATCAATTGTCGGATTGATTGTTGCTGCATAACTTTGATCACATACAAACTCCCTAGGGTCATATCAATACCTCTCTTCGTAAGAAACCTGGGTTTAAAATGAGTATAACAGATGGATGATATGTTGTTTTACAGGAAGAGGAGTTGTGATTAGATGGAAGTGATGGAGGACAAGGGGCTCTAACGCCGAAGAAGCTTTTTTTTAGGAGAGCAAAGAAGACAAGGATGAGGATCTGCCGGTGGAGGAAGCCAACCGTGAGTGGCCCCAATCAGATAAATGGAATTAATGTTTTGGAACTGTCGTGGAATTGGAGTATTGGACCGACTTCGACAGTTTGACATATTTTAGCTTTGAATGATCAGTTTTGCCGGACGAATTGTGTCTTTTAGAAACAATGTCTTGTAGAATTGTCATAGTTAGTAAAATGAACTGTTTAAGGTTTAATAAGTCTGATTTTTTTTTTTAGTTGTACTCGCGAAATGGCAGGTTTAAAGGGCATTATCTCATTGCACCTGTTGCAACCGTATCTGGGAACGTCGCATCCGCTTCGGAGTCAGCATTAATCTTGCTTGGAGTGGATAAAACACTCTTTTGTCGGCTCTAACCTTATAGTCAAAATCGTTACTACTTAAATTTGATAATTTTATGTGTTGGGTATTTTTTATAATTATTGTGTATTTTAAGGTCCCACTGGACCGTTAAAGAATTTATATCGTATTAGTTATAATTTAATTACACTACCATTAATATAAAATTTGAAGTTAAAGTTAATTAGTTAGTTGTACTCGAAGGTTCATTATTACCCGTTATACAGGATCAATTTTCACGTATTTCGTACGATAATTTTAGTATGTTTAATTATTACTTTTTATCACGTTCTTGTTAATAAAATTTAAGTAGAGATTGTTATGAAGTTTTCGAAGATAAAACATAAGAATTTGTCACAAAAACATATTTGACATATTAGGAAAGAAACGCAATTCACCCAATTTAGGAAATTTTTAAGTATTAAAAAAATTGTATTACGAAGATTAATTACGTTAATATTGCTATATGATTAATGATACTTACATACGTTAATAATTTCCTAATTCGTGGAGAACTCGGGTTCGAAACTCAAAATTGTCCTTTTTGATTTGTTATTATTATGACTTGAGTATATAGACAGTCAAATCTTGCCCTAACCCTAAAGTCGAGCGGCCGCCCCACCTCATTCTCTCTTTCGTTTTAGAGATTCAAATCTTGCCCTAACCCTAAAGCCGAGCGGCCGCCCCACCTCATTCTCTCTTTCGTTTTAGAGATTCAAATCTTGTCCTAACTATAAAGCCGAGCGGCCGTCCACCTCATTCTCTCTCTCGTTTTTTTTTCCTTAACACATCTTTCTCGTTCCCTTCGCCAGAAAAAGAACGACAGCTCTCATTTCTCCTTCTCGATCTCTTTCCTTTCTCCGCCAAACCGAACCAAAAAGGGGCTTCGCCTTGTTCTTCTTTTCTTCGATTTACCCCTTCCCTCTCATTACCTCTGGAAACAAACGATCGAAATGAAGAAATACATTGCTGGCGGCGACTGGAGGCGAACACCGCCGGCGATGACAATGACGACGGCGAGTAGGCTCACCAAATAGGCTTGTGGACTCACGAAAAGTTCGGTTTAAAGTGCAATTTCTCATTGCACCGATGGTCAATGAGGGGAAGGGAGTTTGCGTTGGAATCGTGTGACCGAGAGGAACACCATAGAGTTGGACTTTGCAAGAAAAAAGGTCTCTAAAGAAATTTCATTTTTTCACCAAATAGGCTTGTGGGCTCACGAAAAGTACGGTTTAAAGTGCAATTTCTCATTGCACCGATGGCCAATGAGGGGAAGGGAGGTTGCGTTGGAATCGTGTGACCGTGAGGAACGCCATAGAGTTGGAATTTGCAAGAAAAAAGGTCTCTAAAAAAATTTCATTTTTTCACCAAATAGGCTTGTGGGCTCACGAAAAGTTCGGTTTAAAGTGCAATTTCTCATTGCACCGATGGCCAATGAGGGGAAGGGAGGTTGCGCTGGAAT